TTAGGGTCTTCGTTTTTCGGTCTTCGGTCTTCGGTCTTTGGTCTTCGGTCTTCGTTTTGTAGACACCTTCTAGCCAATAGGATCTCAGGAAGCTTAGACAATACTAACGACAATCACCCGAATCGGAAACTCGTCACTAGTGCTCCTCAGGCGTACCTCTTGCCGGTAGGATTTAAGCCCAACGGATCCGAACGGTATATAAATTTTCAAAGACGTGCAATGCTAAGCTGGTGTCTGTCTCTGTCGAGATGTTGCTTCAACAAGCTTTCTGCGATCAGTTTATTGGTATATGGCATATCATTTCTTGGTATTTTCCCTTTTCTTTTTAAAGACATGAGGTATTCTTTATACTACCAGAACCCTTTCCACAACAAAACAACTGAAATGGCATACCATATTAAACAAAATGAGATGCGAAGTGCTGTTGCATCACAGTTTTGGAATGCACTTCAAAGTGAACCATTTAACTTTACCAAGACAGTTAAAGATGTGGACATTGACGTCGTGATCATCACAACTTCTCGGTTTATTTCTCTTCCAAATGGGAATAGTCCGAGGTTCTTAACTCAGGTTTTGTGGCAGTTTTTTCAAATTCTAAACAGCACTGAAACAAAACAATTACCATGGAAATTTGGCTTGTCAATATGCAATGTGGATCCACAGCCTTATGAAGAAGCACAAAACTTCTCTTCTTTGGTACAGTATATTCAGCGGTACTCAGTGGAACCAGAAAGTTTGCCGGCTGTTTATATTAAAGAGAAAGAAAAGCAAGATTATGCATTTTGCCTGGAGGAGAGCATGAAGTCCAGACCAAGGTATTCTCTTCTGGTTGAAGATGATGCCTTTCCTCATCCACAGCTGTTTCAGACTTTGTATTATCATATTGAGGAGAAAAAACGCTTAATGGATTCTCGATTACAAACCAACAACGTTTTGTTTTATAAACTGTATCATCCTGAAAGACTTCAAGGATTTTGGAGTCTGGAACCAGAACGCCTTCCTGAACTTTTTAGCTGTGGTTGTGTATGTGGAACTTTTGTAACTTTTTTAATGCACCATTTACTGTGTTCTAAAGAAAATAGAAGATGTAAGCCTAAAAATGTCTTCAATATCTGGATATGGGTGGTATTTTACTTCACTATAGCTGCATTTCTCATCAATAGGCCACATCTAATGCAGTTAAGGTATCTATCAAAGTATTTCTTCACTGTTGGCCCCACACCATCATGCTGTACTCCTGGAATGCTTTTTGTTGCTGAGAAAGCGAGTCATTGGGTGAATTACATGAAAACTCATACATGTGGTGTAAATTATGGGAAGGACACCATGCTGGATGACTATAGAAAGAAATTTAAGGTGAAAGGTTTAATTGTACAACCTAATTTATTCACACACATTGGGTTTTATTCGTCTCTCAGTCAGAAATTATTGGGTCCCTCTCTCATGTACTATCCACCATGGTTCCCTCTCTATTGATACTTACTAAGTATTAATATTAGTACTTATTTGGTAAATTTGGTAACAAATAGCAAATGAGGGAGTTTATAATCAAGATTACTGAAAGCTGAACCATTACAAATAGCATAATATTTCTACTACAGAAGAACTTCAATTTACAAATCCTTGATTTCTCAAAACTTTTGTCAATTTGAAACCAAAACTGACTTCACTTTTTCTTTCTCTCAAACAATGTTAATTCACCTCCTCCCAATAAACACTTTAACCCCTAAGAGCGACTAGCATCTAATTTCCCCTTACAGACTATCTAACTTTATTTTGCTATTCACAAAAAAAGCTTAATGGATTCTTTTAATTTCAAATCCTCATTCAAAGCATGTCTGTTTTGAGAATTTCTCATTTTTGTTGTGTTTACTGCTTTAGAGAGCAGTACAGAGTCTTTTAAGTTCAAATCCTCTTTCAAAGCTTTTCTGTTTTGAGAATTTATTTTTGGTGTGTCTACTGGTTTCTTTGTGTCTACTGCTTTAGAAAATGGCAGACACTTTAGTCATCAAAAAAGCCAAGTGCATAAGTAAACAATATACACTTGGTAACCCCTTCACTGAGAAATGGGTTATAGCAAAAATGAAGACCCCCTGGAAACAAAGACTTACGACCTAGGACTCGAAAATGAAGACCTCTTTATTTTCTTTATTTAACATGATCTTGTTATGGTTTCTCACAGGAAATATCCAGCTCCTGTTTTAATCTTCTAAGAACAACGAAGTATGCAATCAAACACTAGTTACAGATAAAACGACCCTGAAAAAAAAAAAAAACCTGAAAATGAAGACCTGAAAACAAAGACCCCTTGTTGTCTCTGTCAAAAGATGAATACAAAGCAGGGATAAGAAAAGCTTTACCTCTAGCGAATTTTGCAGGTGGCATATTAGCTGGGAATAGAGGGCATTGTGTGAAGAGACCACAGTAAGCATGGCAACAATGTAGTATATTTTTGCTTAGAAGTATTTTGACAATAGAGACAACGGACCACAAAATACCTGTGTGAGTTCAGATAAATTAGGTTTTTTTTCCTTTGTCTTAAGGTGAAGTGATGCAATATTTTTGTTCTTTTGACAGTTATGCTCTTTTTTCTGTTACAAAGTGTTCCATCTCAACCCAACCAGCCAAAAAAATAACTCTTGCATTATCTTTTTGATTTCTGTGTAAATCTGTGTCTAGTGTTTTTGTCCTTGAAAATAAGTTATTTTAATGGTCCACTTTCATTAGAGCACTTTTCAAGAAAGGGTAATTTGTAAAAACAGCACATTATGTTATTGGTTTCTCTAAAATTTTTACTTAAATCCATAGGCACATGAAATACTTAGGTGGCAATGAAACTCAAAGTCTGATAAGCATTGTAAGGGGTGGAAAAACTGAAGACAGTTTGTACCACAAGCAAAGTCAATCACAGCTTTTGTGAGAATGAATAGTAAAGTTTCATACTATTGTTTCTGAAGGACCACTTTACATATGTAGTTTTGGTATAAACATGCTGTTTCATCTGCCACAAATATAACACTAAAATATCCTGATATTCAAAATTATTTTTTTTTAAAAAAGTAAAGAAGTGTGGATGATATTGAAAGATTGTGCAAATCATGCTATAAGTACCATGTAAAAAAAAGGGAAGTTCCAAATGGAATATAGATCCCAACAAAACCTACTTATCTTGACTTACAGCTACTATTAAACTACTTTAAAACAGAAACAATTATTATAGTATAAAAGTTCTGCTTTATCTATGGATGTGAGACCTTTCGAAGTAGTAATAGTAGCCCACTTTACAAGACTGAAGGAATTACCTTTGATTTGCTTATTACAACTAGCTGACATAAGCAGGGTTTCTGTTTGTGTCCAAAGGCATCATTTACTTCTTTGCTGTTTCATGTCTGGTTTCACAATGCATTTGCAACCTTTCCTCCCACCCCCTTCTCCATCCAAATGTACAAACATCTGGACCACTTTTCATTTATTTTACCTCATGCAAAATTTTCTATCCAATTCAAGCTTGTAAATTCTACTGGGAATTATTTGTGGGGATTTGAAATCTTCAATACCACATCTGGAAGACCACTGCATGGAATTTCCAAAGTGGTAATGCTTTCTCTGACCAATTCAGTTATTGAGCTTAATGAGTGTGTAATGAATGCACTGGTAGATTTTCAAAATTCAATTCCTTAACTGCTGGTTTCTGAAATACATGAAGAAGTAACATTAATAACAGTAGTATACAATGATAAAAAACAAGGTAAATGAAAATTGAACAAAGAAAGAACAAATACCTGACAGTTAGGATACTGATGTGAAACAATATAAAGACGTTCTAGAAAAATCTGACTGATTGGCATGAAACTTATTTTAATATGCTAACATAGCACAGAGATTGGAAACTGGGAAACCCCTGAAAAATGTTGCAACATGACTCACTATAAACCCTGATAAATTCTAGTTACAGCTACTTTATGCATATTAGCAGGAGACATATGTAGCCATTCGCTGCCTATTTTTAGAGACCTCTTTCTGAATAAGTGTACACAAGTTCAGAATTGATTGATCAGGCTTCTCAGTTTTGTTTACTTAGATTGTCTTTATAAAAGGAATAATCCTGTGAACCAGTTGTTGTGCATGGTTTAAGCCCCACTTATTTTCATCATCATTTCGGTTTTCTTCCTGTGGTCACACATGGTCATCAGTTCTGTTACTGAAAAAGAGATCCTGATATCTCTATGAACAAAACTAAACAGTTCAGAGCCTATCTGAAAGTAAGAAAGGCTCATAACAAGAAACCTCCAGTAACATAAAGTCTGACAGTTCCAGTCCACATTTGATCATGTGCCTTAATCAAAAGCATTTTCAAAAAGGCTGCAGCACACATTTTGTAAAGCTCATTACAAAATCCTCTCAAATGATTACTGAAGAAGAGTCTGAAGGAAATCAGACTACTCAAAAGCAATTCTGCTTCATTCTTTATGTTCCTTGTACCAAGAAAGGGTTGAAATTGCTGTCATCTGAGATAGTAATCAATAGCTGTAGAAAATGCTGCAAATCCAAGGGCACCCATAACAGCTGCTTTACCACCAGCTACAAACAGATAAACATAAAAAAACAATAACAAAAACAAAGACAAAACATCAGTGAAACAAACAAAAACCTTGGTGAAAAATATTGACATTTCCACCAAAAGATTGATTACAAATCAAAATGAACATTTTGGGCCCTTGATGCAAACCCATTTCCTATTACAACTACTCCATGTAAACTTGCTTGTGCATTTTCTAGGTCTCTTTGGCCAGGATGGAGGGAAAATGTACTTTATGTACTATTCTAATGTTTACAAGATATATATTTATTCAAATGGGAACAAATCATTGGAATGCAACTTGCCTCTAAGCCCAATGAGACCTCCTGTGATACCACCTGACAGTGTTCCATTTTTCCAATCACTCTTTCCGCGAAACTGAAAAATAATATTATAGAGAAAGCTAACATAGCAAAGATAACATGTTATTGACATGTTTGTATACTATTTAGGACTATAACAGTTTTTGAACCATCTTGACTTAACTGTTCCTTTCCTTCCAGACTGTATTGATGGATTTAGAAAAAAAAAAAAAAGAAAAAAAAAAGAAAAAAAACAGATGGGGAGGGAGGTGACCTTTTAAAGGGCGGCACATTTTGCAATAAGAGAATTGGTGCTACTCTTATGCCATTGTATAAGGTAATCACATGATTGTCAATTCTTCTCTTCTTACTGTAACATTATCCACAGGCTTTTGTAAAAAAGACAATGATAACACAGTTGAGTGGCATAAAACTTATCCAGCACACTTACAGATTCAACTAGGCATTCTGTTCCAGAAAACATCAGACCCACCACACCAAAATTTTTACCATATGACACTGCGCGTGACTTCATGTCTCGTAGAATGGCTTTTGCTGACTGATCAGGGACCCCAGTCATAGGGTTTGGCATAGAAGAGTCCATTCCAGCCGTAAACAAACCAAACACAGCACCAAGTCCATAACCTGTATGAAAAAAGTGTGCAATTGATAAAACAGGCAGCTTTTCTTCCCAATAACATGTCACTTACTTTGAACAAAAATACTCAAGAGCCCATTTATGCCCCATTGCTTGAACACAGAACAAATATCCCAGTCTCCTGAGTGTACAGTTTACAAAATCTCCTAGAGAAGGTCACATTTCCACCTTTTATTGGTGTTATTTGTAAGTCTTGTAGAATTTTTGTGACTTAAACTGTTTCAAATTTGGATTTGGCGCTTTTCTTAATTCCTTGCGGAGAGACTAGGTCGAAAGGGTCTAGACTGTGAAAAAGGGGGTGGAATGGGATGGAATGTGATCTGAAATCAAATATGTCTAGGTCTGTATGGTGTGCGCGGAAGTTAAATTTTTTCACTCTCCGAAGAAAGAAGACGATCATCTATGAAAGTGGTACTGACTAAATAGATTGCTCGTGATATCACTTAAATGCATTTTACAACTGCAAGACATCTTCATACCTACAACTCCGGCTAAAACTGACTTGAAAGCACAATTTTCCATGCCCCTTTCCACCATAAGTTCCTGTGGCGTTCTGATTACATTTGGAAGTCCAACTGATGGTACAAACGGAGGCCTTTGCTTTCTCGCCTCTTCAATGGCTGGAATGATCGAACTCAGCGGTAATTGCCCGGTGTTTGGCAATAAACTTTGTTGCTTATCTTTCGCCGATGAATCCGCCATTTTGGATGACGACGAATTGGTTCCAGTATTTCGCAGATCATAATGAATGCAGAAGTCTGGAATCACTGACGTGTCTTTGAGGAAGCTCAGGCAAGATGGCGTACCAAACTTTTCAACAAGAATACATGCAGATCCCCGTGGTTACACGGACGTATACAACTGCCTGTGTAGTAACAACACTTGCAGTGGTAAATATGACCATGTAGCTAAAGTTTCTGCCGCTTTTCTTCGCATGCAGGGAAGAAAATAGAGAAATTTCTCGTTGTGCAGGGGACTGATCTGTCATAATCTTTCTTCTTGCTTTTGTTTGTTTTTAGCAACTTGAGCTGATAACTCCGTTCCAGCTTTATTTCAATCCCGAACTTATATTTCAAAGATATCAGGTTGGTCTTTCTTGTCGTTTCTTCCGTGTACCTACATCATAAACGTTAGCTACATTTTAATTTCCATAAAAATCACATTTTCTTATTGATAGATAACATTTTTCAATGGAAATGTGCATATATATATATATATATATATGTGTGTTAATGTAAGCTTGTTAAGATGAAATGCATTTTCTATTTAGAAACTTTTACTCCTCATTTACTTTTTAGTGTAAAAATTTAAACATCTGAAATGGAGAAAAACAAGAAATGTAATCAAATTACTCTTCTGATGAGATATTGAAGAATTTTTCTACTTATGTTTTAGTTTTGGAGACTGGTAACTAATTTTATGTTTTTTGGAACAATTGGATTCAATTTCTTCTTCAACATGATTTTCACGTATCCTTCTCTTTAATTTTTAAGTTTGCAAAGTTACTGCTTAAATGGTTGACCTAAGTGCTTATGAAGTGATACTACGGATATTGACCCTTTACACCCTAAGATCACTAATTGTATTCTCCATACTTTTCTCTGTACATTTCCTTTGTTAGCAATAAGGAGAATTTCAATCATATGCCTTTCCACCTAGTGATCATTCCCTTTACTGTCATGACCATAATTTTTCATTCAGGGGTGATATTGTAAGATCATACTTACTCTTACAATTTTCATGATTAAAAATGTTTTGTCATGATTATGAAAAATGAAAAATTCCTTGACGCTCGAAAGCTACCGCTACTGTAGGATGTTAGAGGAAGGGTCATTCCGAGGACGAACAGCGGATTTTGTTTTCATGTTTATATTTGGTGGAGCTATAATGACTGTATCCTTTATGAATCATACATCAAATGTGTGGAACATTGCTCAGAAAAGAGCATATGAATTAGTCACTGATAATGTGAGTGATAACTTGAACATGTTTGACTGAATAGTTAAATGTCATTAAATGTTTGTAACAGAAAATTTCATACTAGAGATTTTTCTTTCAGTTAAAATTTCCTTGACACCTTGTCATCAGGTGATTGCTTTGTTTGTTAATTTAGTTTTTCTGGGCCAGGCTTTCACCATTATGTTAGTATACATCTGGAGCAGGAGAAACCCCTTAATAAGAATGAACTTTTTTGGTCTTCTTACTTTTAAGGCACCCTATTTACCATGGGTGCTGTTTGGGTTTTCCCTCATGTTGGGAAATTCTGTCATGGTGGACCTTATAGGTAATTTCACTAAGATTTGCCTCATCTTTCCTACAAGAAATTTTATCATGTTGTGCTAGTTAAGTTTTAAATATGTAAACCCTTTAACTCCCAAGATATGATGTTAAATGCTCTTCTCTTGCTGATGCACTTAGTAAATTGGTTACAAAAATTTGTTGTTAGATCAAGATGACAGCTTCTACCTGATAAGTTTGAATATTCTCATCACCTGTTTGCTGGATAATGTATGGATATTATAGGGAGAAGTTACATGTTAATCACACCTGGGAGTTAAAGGGTTAAGAGAGCTTGTATTTATAAAGAAATCCTTGTCAAAGTGGTCAATAGGAAAATCACTGGTGTTTTGTGATATTTCCTTGTCAGCTTTTTCAGTCAGTTTCAGTTAATATTAAGTTACCTGGGACTGTTAGAAAGTAGCTAAATTGATTAAGATTGTACGCCAAACTTTGTTTGTTGCCCATGCGACAACCTACTAGTAGTAAATACTGTATATTATTGCTGTTTTCTTATTTAGAAAGACCTGAAGGCTCTCATTAAATTTTAGCCTGATGTTGGAAATTATAAAATTTCTGGCTTCCTTCTCCCCATTTGAGTGAGAGTCCCAAACACTAATTGTTTAGCTGATATTTTCGGGATTAAATAAAGTTTTAACTAACAAATTTCACAAATCTTTGCAGGTATTGCTGTAGGTCATGTGTATTATTTCTTGGAGGATGTGTTTCCAGAGCAGCCAGGAGGATTTAGGATACTCAGGACTCCAGGAATCCTGTATGAAATATATTGTGAAACACCCTTTGCATAATTTTGATTAATCACTTATCATTGAGTGTAGAGAAAAAAAAAAACAATGGATTTCTGAAAGTCTCTGGTGCAAGCCTGGGTTTTTTAACCTACAGTCTTATTTTGAGGCCTTATTTGCCAAACTCTTTGCTTAATCTGCTGGTCTTTCTTTACCCTTTCACACCCAAGATCTCCAAGTGAATTCTCCTTACTGTCTGCCTTACATTTCTTTTAACTTGAGCTCTGAGAAATTTGTTTAAGATCCAACAGGGTTCTTTGGCTGATGTAATTCTTTCTTTTAATTACCCTTCCATTCGATAACATGTTGATATTGTAAGGAGAATTCAGAGAAGTGCTCGCTCCTGGATGTGAAAGGGTTGATACTCTCCATTTCCTTTTGCTCTAACCCCATTTGGAACATGTTGGTTGGATAAGAAAAGTTAATATGACTCTAGAACTTCATATATGGATCTAAAATAATTGAAACTACAAGAAAAGTGCAATTATTAAGATGAAAGGAGAAGTGACGTCTTTAAAATATCCTTGAGAAAAATTCAGATATGTCTAGGAATATAAATAAGATGAAAGTTATATCTAACAAAGTTTTTTCTGAGCACAGGAAAGTGAAATCAGAACTGGGGCTGGGGTTTTGAATCCTCTCAGAGGACTGGGATCTTTTGTTGTTCCATACCTTTCATTAACATCAGTTCTCTGTGTCTGAATTGTATGTAGGAAAGCCATTTTTGATGCCCCCCCTGAGGATCCAAACTACCAACCCCTCCCAGAGGAAGACAGGCCTGGGGGATTCAACTGGGGTGAGGGACAGCGAGTGGGTGCTGCTGCTG